TATAATGTTATACTTTTACATTTTGTCATACTTTTACTCTCTTTTCAATATGCCCTTTTAATCTCCTTGTTCCATTCTTTAATCCTTAAAAATTAAACAAAAGAGTTCAATTGCACGAAAATTGGAGAAGAGAAAATAGACATTTCACATTAAACTTCTCTTGACTATGAATATTTTGGTGTAGGGTAAGGTTAGTTCTCCCAATGCCCATAATGATCGTCGAGAGTTGCTCTTCTCCGGATGATTTTTCAATGTTGGGAGATGTGGATATTAGGATAAACATAATTTATTATACCAATAGTTTTAGCCATTGAATTACAGGCGAGGGGAATAAATGCAAATTGACGAAAAAGGATAAAAAAAAAAAAAAAAAGACAGATAAAAAATGGAAAAGGGAGATGATTAAGTGTAGATAAATGATTTTTATCTATAATATTAACTATTCAAATGATAAAAGAGTATTTGTTATTATGGGGAAGTTTGAAGCATTATTAAAGCAAAGCATAAATTTATGTATATTTTCTATTAATTGAAGAATAAAAACAATTAGAATGAAGGAAAATAAAATTGAGAGAGATTAAAACTATAAACGTTGAATATGTAATGAAACAACCTTATTCTAAAATAAAAAATAAAAAATAAAAATGGTTATCTTTTCAAACATCCTAATTATTTTATTTATAACTACAATTTTTTTTTCTCAAAATTTAACTATTACAAACCAAACCTTTGACCTTAGAAATAATAATTGATACTTCTGTTGATTAGAAATAATAATCGATACTTCTATTCAACTATATGGTTTCAATTAATCGAGTAAGATATTAATTAGGTTAAATTAATAAAAAATATCTCTAAACATTTTCATTTTGTCACAAAAATACCATTAAATTTTTAAAAAATTTAATAAGGACCATAAAATAAAAATTATTGAAAAAGAATCTACGTTAGATAATTAAGAGAATGGTCATAAGTTTATAAAAAAATGTATATGCATTAAAATGAGTAATTTTGGAGAAATAAAAAACAAAATCATAAGAGCTCCTACTCAAACCGTACAATATCATACTATTTCGAATGGTTCAAATTTCTAACCTTTTAAACTTTAAAAAATACTCTAAAAAATTAGATTTAAATAAAAATTATAAATACTTTATTTTAAAAATATTTAAAAATATTCTTGAACTAAGTTTTAATAAGATCCATTTCATAATCATTTGTCTTTTTAATTTTAAAAAATTAAATTTAGAAACAAGATTACACCCACTTATTAGTTGTTGTATCTGGTATTGGAGAGAGTGATTTTGAAAATTCAAACCAAAATTTTAAAGTTAAAATAATAGTTCCGGAAAATTTAGATTTTATTTTTGAAACCTACTAAAAGGATAAAATAAAAAATTAAAAAAATGTAAGAAAAAAAGAAAATTATCATCCTACAATATTTATTGTTAAAAAAAATATATATAATAAAAACTTCGTAGATGATCCCATGGTAGGTGGTCTCTATAAAAGGGCGTTCATGGTGTGGTTCTGAGAACAACATCACAAACAGCATCATGTGTTGTTTAGCTTTGAGGGTCGTGTTTCTCAACCTCGTTTGCACTTTGCTCATCTCTGCCTCTGCTTCCAATGGCGATGGAAGAAAGGTATAAGAACCAGTTTTGTTTTTCTTTTTTGTTTGTTGAAATACAAAACTGACATTTTGTTTCTTCTTCTAAATCCTGGTAGATTTACATCGTGTACATGGGGAGCAAGCCGAAGGACTCATCTCAACCTCATTTGCACCATCGGGCAATGTTGGAAGAAGTGGTCGGAAGGTGGATATATAAATTTTATTATCCACAAAGCATTGTTATTAATTATATGTTCAACTTTTTCTGATTGTGTTTTTGGGATCAGTGCTTTCTCTGCAGAATCTATAGTGTATAGTTACAAAAGAAGTTTCAACGGATTTGCAGTCAAACTCACAGAAGAAGAAGCTCAAAGGATGGCTGGTACGTACCACCAATATAATGAACACCCTTTTCATTATTATTATTATTATTATTATTATTATTTGTTTGAAACTGATTGGGACATGTCATTTCAGCTAAGGAAGGTGTGGTGTCTGTGTTTCCAAGTAAAAATTACCAACTGCAAACCACAAGATCATGGGATTTCATAAATTTTCCACGAGATGTTCCTCGATTACCTCTACAGGAAAGCAACATCATCGTCGGCGTTCTTGACACCGGAATTTGGCCGGACAGTTTAAGCTTCGACGACCAAGGTCTTGGTCCTCCACCGCCCAAATGGAAGGGTATTTGTGAATCTTCCGCCAACTTCCGTTGCAACAGGTAAAGCTTTTAAAACAAAATAAAATACAAACAAATAATGTTGTTTGATTGAAAAGAGTTGGAATGATTTAGAAAAATCATCGGAGCTCGAGCATACCGAGCAGAGGGCCCTCCGCCCCCTACTCAGGCTTGGGGACCCATCGATACAAGCGGGCATGGGACGCACGTTGCATCGACGGTGGCTGGTAGTCTGGTGGATAATGCAAGCTTATACGGGTTTGGGCTGGGGTTGGCGAGAGGAGGGGTTCCCTCTGCCCGCATTGCTGTGTACAAAGTATGCTGGGAAAGAGGGTGCAGTGACGCTAATATTCTTGCGGCATTCGACGATGCAATAGCCGACGGTGTTGATATTTTATCCATTTCAATTGGCGGCCGTCGAGTGAGGCCTTTCTTTGAGAATGGCATTGCCATTGGAGCTTTCCAGGCCATGAGAAATGGAATACTGGTTTCCAACTCCGCCGGCAATGATGGTCCTAATTGGTATACCACTGGAAGTATGGCCCCATGGATGCTCTCTGTCGCTGCTAACACCATTGACAGGAACTTCGCAGCACATGTACAACTTGGAAATGGAAATGTGTACCAGGTCCTCTCACCTTCATTTCTTAATTACATTTAAATTTCGTTTTTACTCTGTTTTTTTCACTTTTCCATCAAGTTTATTATTATTATTTATATGGAAATGTGCAGGGAGTTGCAATCAACTTATTTGATCTTGGGGGAAAGCAATATCCGTTAGTTTATGCTGGAGATGTGCCCAATATCGGTGGAGGATTCGATAGCAGCATCTCCAGGTAATCCCAAACTCACTATTTTCAGTTAGGTGAAGAAACAGATTTTGAGACAGTGAATATATGAAACAGATTTTGTGATGTCAACTCGGTGGATCGGAATTTGGTGAGGGGAAAAATTGTTTTATGTGATTCTTCGAATGTAAGTTTCCCTTCTCTAAATGGCGCAGTGGGCGTGGTGATGGAAAGCACCGCATCCTGGCATTTGATTGGAACCTTTCCCTTGCCTGCTTCCCACTTCAACCCACCAAGCGCCAACCCGATTAGGCTCTATATCACTTCAAACCCGTACGTAATTTCAAGTTTCGCCAAACTATTGCTATTTGTATTTCTAATTTTAGTGTTTTAAGTTCTGATGATTGATCTGTTGAGTTCCGTAGAGCTCCCACTGCCACCATTTTCAGGAGTGTGAATGTCAACGACACGAATGCTCCTGTTGCAGCTGCCTTCTCCTCTAGGGGACCCAATACCATATCCCCCAACATTCTGAAGGTCACTTAATTTGTGTTTCTATACTCTTTTGTTCAACACTTCCTTAATTAACATCATCTTATGTACTACTGTATGCAGCCGGATTTGAGTGCTCCTGGAGTTAATATTCTAGCAGCATGGCCTCAAAATGTGCCCATCTCTCATGGACATCCATTGTCGTCGCCTTATAATTTTGCGTCAGGCACATCCATGGCTTGTCCTCACGCCACTGCAATTGCTGCATACGTAAAAACCTTCAGTCCCTGGTGGTCGCCAGCTGCCATAAAGTCAGCTCTAATGACAACCGGTAATACTAATACCTAAACTCCAAACAAAAAATGGAAGATTGCAACCAAATATTGGTGTTTAAGCTTTGATAAAATTATTTTGTATCAATTCATTTTGTACAGCTTCTCCCATGGATGCCAGATTCAGCCAAGGAGCAGAGTTTGCATATGGTTCAGGCCAAATCAACCCACTCAAGGCAGTAAATCCAGGGTTGGTCTACAATGCAAGTGAAAGCGACTACGTGGAATACTTGTGCGGGATACCGAATATCACCCGCGCCCAGCTCCAACAGATCACCGGTGAAGATATTATTTGTACTGACAGCAACACTGGACGTGACTTGGATCTAAACTATCCTTCTTTTGCTCTCTCCATGGGGCGTGGACAATCCCTCCGTGTATTCTTCCCAAGAACACTCACAAACGTTGAAGCTACAGTGTCCACATACAGAGCTACGGTTTATTCTCCTCCAGGACTCAACCTCCAATTCAAAGTGGATCCTCCTGCTTTGACATTCCATGGCATTGGAGATACCAAATCATTCACGCTGGGTGTTCAAGGATGGCTGTCCGCAACCGATCCCGCAACAGTTTCTGCATCTTTGGTGTGGAGCAATGGTGTTCGTGAAGTTAGGAGCCCTATAGTACTATTTTAATTCACCCAATAATAATAATAATAATAGTAATAATCTTAAACCTTAGTGTGGGCTCCTGTTTGTTTTAAGTTTGAATAAAGGGAATGAAAAGTGTGGGGAGCTGGGACACTGTTCTTTGCTTCCTATCACTTTCATTTTGGCTTTGGCTTGTCTCTCATCCTCCTCTAAATTGGGTTTCCCTCTAAATAAAATGCATATTAAATAGTGAAAGGCAAATGTCTCATATATGCACCAGGACGTGAATTGAGGAGTCATAGAATCTAGTGGTATTAGCTAGTTCTTCTGCGTTTGAGTTGTAGACTCTTATGTTATGATAGAATAATAGCAATTTATTTTACAACTTTGTTAGTAGACATGATGTTTCGTGTTTTCAACTATGCTGTTATTGTTTTCTATTTTGAACCGAATTTTATGCACATTTAAATCCAAGTAAAATGTTTTGGATGATTTCTCACACATAGTAGTAGTCTTGGTAGTTGAGTGTAGGAAGAGAACATCATTTATTCATATTTGGTATTGGGATAGAACACACCATTACCTTACTTCATAGGCCCTCACCACCTTAACTAGACCTCAACGGGAAGTGGAGATTGTAATAGGGCTTCGGACGGAATGAACACCATCACTCCACACCAAACAAGCAGAGACTAACCTACGACTCACTGTTCCACCAACTGTCAAATTGAAGGATTTCCTTTCCCCAATGCGATTAAATGATAGAACACAGGGATTCACTGTGATGCGAAGGCCTTTTGGGGCAGAAATGGTAGCTCTATATGTGGATCCACTGGATGCCACATTTGTGAGAGTTCTAGTGAAGTACTGATTGAGGGCTTTCGAACCGGCCGCTACCGAAAGTGCAAAAGAAGGAAGGTTTAGATCCCATACTCTTCCAATGTTTCCAGAAGTGCAAGCACTATTATCGCCAGTGATACGTCGAACCATGGCCGTGTCGTAACCTTGACCACACAAGAATTTCACATACTCATTTTCATCTGCATCGTACACCAACCCTGGATTTACAGCCTTCAGTGGGTTGACATGGCCTGCGCCATACGCAAACTCCGCCTGTGAGTGGAGGCTAGCATTCATGGGCGAAGCTGTAGAAAGAGAGAGGAGTGAGTGAAAAGCACACAAAATTTAGAAAAACAGAGCAGTTAGTAATAATTACCGGTTGTCATGAGTGCTGATTTTATAGCAGCGGGAGACAAGGTTGGATTGAATGTTTTAACATACACTGCGACTCCAGTGATATGTGAGCAAGACATGGAGGTCCCTGAGATTATATTGTAAAGCGAACTCCTGGAGTCTTTAACTTCAGCTATTGGCGCAACGGGAGGCCATGCTCCTAGAATTTCAACTCCTGGACCACTCAAATCTGGCTGCATGTGTGGAAGTAAATGAATCAAATGAATGATGGAAAGACAAACGCAATTTATTGTTTGAATTGGAAAGGAGGAAAAACCTTGAGAATGTGGTTGGCTAGAGAATTAGGTCCCCGAGATGAGAAGGAAGCAATAACAGGAGCAGATGGATCTTGTGTAGCGTTACTCTTGAAAAACATGGCATACGGAGTGCTGTTAATAGAAACAATAAATTATTTCAATAAACTTGTTAAGTTGAATTGAGGAAAGTGAAGAGAAACATACAGTGTTTCACGAGTGAAGCGAAAAATGGTAATGACATCTTGTCGGCTGACGAGGGCAGCAGGCAGGGGATAGGAACCTGCATTATCCCTTGTACCAGATTGCATTATGACGCCATTTATGGCACCCAACGAAGAGAATAGAGAAGGAGGAACTATAGCTTCACAAAGAAGTACTTTCCCCCTCACCTTCTCCGGATTCACTGAATTTTTCCGACAGTATCTGTTTCAACAAAGTACATAACAAATCAAACAAATTTATACAACTCACATTTAACTTAGATTAGTTTACTTTTCAAAATAAAATAGTTATTAAATGAGACATTAATTACCTAGAGATAGAGCGTTTGAAACCTCGGTTGGGTACGTCACCACCATAAACTAAGGGATATTGATAAACCATAGTGTTGAACGTGTTGATTGAAACTCCCTGCACTTTCATGAAAACATTACAATTTTATATGTTATATATATAACTATATATATGATTTATATGATAACATATATAAAACCAGTCATAGCATATCAGGTGACAAAAAAAATAAATTAAAAAATAATGTTACCTGGAAGAATCTTCCATCGCCAAGCCTTACTCGAGTGACAAATTTTCGGTCCATGGTGGTTGCAGCGACAGAAAGAAGCCATGGAGACAAGCTTGTGGTGGTGGAGTCCTTGGGACCTTCGTTTCCGGCGGAATTGGAGGTCAATATTCCTTTCTTCATTGCATGGAAAGATCCAATAGCAATGGGATCGCTGAAATAAGGGCGCGGTTTACTGGAGCCAACGGAAAGGGAAATGAAATCGACCCCATCAGCAATTGCATCGTCGAATGCCGCAAGAATGTCGGCGTCGGAGCACCCATGTTTCCAACATATTTTATACACCGCAATCCGCGCAGAGGGAGCCCCTCCTCTGGCCGTGCCGAGGCCGAGATTATACAAACTTGCCTGGCTCACCAGACCGCCAGCCACTATGGACGCTGTGTGGGTCCCATGGCCGTTGGTATCTCTTGGACTGTTAACTTCGTCAGGGGCAATGGACTTCCCAATGTGGTATGCTCGAGCTCCGATGATTTTTCTAACAAAGTTCCAAGCATTCGCATGTTTAGTTGTCATAGATTTATAAATTTTGTTTGTAACTGGAATATAATCGTTTACCTATTGCAGCTGAAATTGGAGACTTGGCATCTGCCCCTCCACTTGGATGGTGGAGAACCAAAACCATCATCGTTGAAACTGGGAGACTCTGGCCAGATTCCGGAGTCCAAAACTCCAACAACTATGTTGCTTTCCAGTTGTGGTACGCGATCAACATTTTGTGGAAACCCCATAAAATCCCACGATCTTGTCGTGTGGAGATGGTTGTTTTGATTGAGGAACACAGAGACCACACCCTCCTTGCCTGAAAAACATTTCAAATTTTATACTCAATTTCAAAAATAACTCATTAAATAAAAATAAAAGATATACTTACTAGCAATCTCTTGAGCTTCTTCTTCAGTGAGTGTCACCACGAATCCGTTGAAACTTCTATTGTAGGTGTATAACACAGATTGTGGATCAAAAGTGCTGAAACAACATACAAATAATTGTTCAAATAATTGTTCAAATAATTGTTCAAATAATTTGTTCAAATAATTGTTGATGAAGGGTGTGTATATATAAATAAACCTGCCAACCACTTGTTCCAACATTGCTCGGTGATGCAAATGAGCGGAAGAAGGGTCCTGTAGCTTGCTCCCCATGTACACAATATATATCTTCCTATCATCATCGTGGGAATGGGAGGTGGATGCCAGCACACTGCAGAACAAGGCAAGGAAGAGGAGATTAAGGATCAGAGGAGAACTCATATCACTGCCTTTTCTTATCATTGGGATATGATTTCAGAGAGGAACACTCATATCTGCATTATATAGCAACAACTTGATACTTACTTCCCAACTTTTTCTTAATTTTCAAGTAAAATTTAATAAATGGTTAGATTAAAAGTTCAAAACATAATTCCTCCTTCAAACTGCTCTATACTTCACAAGACTGTTGGATGAAAGTGTCGCGTTAATTTAAGAAATAATCTGAATTTATAATCAATGAATACTATCTCTATTTATATGAGATCTTTTAAGGAAACCCAAAGCAAATCATTAAAAAAATTGTCCGGACAAATATAGTTTAAAAACAATATCATACCATTGATCCATGATTAACGGTAAGGAAAAAAAAAATTGAAACGAAGTGTCACTGAAAAAACCGTCAATTAAATAAGCAAACATCCACAGACAAATATAATTTAAAAACAAATTGAATCAAATAATAATAACAATAATATACCTTTTTAATCCTGTTTTGTCTTCCCCCAACACAGGCATAAAAAGATAACAAAAATAGTTATAAATATTTAAAAAAAGAATAAATTAAAAAGATGACCAAAAAAGAAATCCCACGTAATATTGTAATTTAAATTAATAAAAAAAGAAATCCCACGTAATATTGTAATTTTGATGTTGATGTGACATTTCGATCCTACCTAAATTATTGATTTATAAGAATATGTGGCGCCTAGACCAATTAAATAAAGTAAGAGCATGTGAGCTACAAATTTCAATTTAAAATGTATATTATTATTATTATTATTATTTCTTAATTTAATTAATCATGCTTTGTGAAATTTATTGTGTATCTCATGTAATATCATTACTTTTATTAGTGATATCTAAATAAATAAGGTATACATAAATCACCCAAAGAGACGACATCTAAATATGAGTAATAATAAGAATATGATAATTAAGAAAATTTTAAAATAATTGAAAGTTAATATTCATATCAATAATTTTTTTTTTTTAATGAAATGAGAGGGGAGATTGTTGGGGGCGTTGTTGCCATTTTTATGTCCATTTTCATCCAAACAATTTTGTCTCAACATTTCTTTTTTTTTTCTTTACTAATTTTAAAATTTTTCTCATCATCACTCACGTCTTAATAATTAATTTTTTTAGTTTAATTATAAAATTCAAAGTTAATTTTTTTAGTTTAAGTTAATTTTTTTAGTTTAACTATAAAATTCGAAGTTTTAATCTTTTAGTCAATAATTAACGTTCATTAAAAATACTTTCATCACTAAAACAATAAAAGTTTTGGAACAAATAACTTTAACAATCAATTAATTATAAAAAAAAACTATTAGCTTTGAAACATATTTTTTCTGTTATAATTTTAAATTTGTAATTTTTTTATTAATTTTCATTAAAAATAAATAGTATTATATATAAGAATATAAATTATAAAAATTAAAAACCTGACACGTGACACCATACGACAAACGAGCCTGGTTGGCATCCAAGTTTTGGACTCGTAGTCGTACCGAGCCAATCAATAATTGATGTTTTGTCCATAGAATTTTGAGACATCCTCTTCTTCTTTTTCAAATAATTTTAAACTTTTTCTTTAAGAAACTAAAAACTAAAAACTAAAAATAATTTTACCAATACTTTCCAATTCAGCTAAATTAGTAAAAATATAAACTTGAGAAAAAAAAAGAAAAAAAAACTCCTTTCAACTATCAAACACTCATTTATGTATACACAAACTAAAGAGGTAGGAAAAAGTAAAAAAGAAAAAATTATTGTGGTGTATCCTTATTTTGTCACAATTATTATGTATCCTTTTTTGTTTAGATTTAATTTGTAGGAGATTCAATGACAAAGCATATCGTAGCGGACCGATATTTTAATGTTGACACGACCAAAATTATTGTGGTGTGCCTTTTCCACGCCTATTTATTGTTTTGCACTTCATTTTCATAGCTTTTCGTAATATTATGTCCAACTTAACTCTCATTTGTTTTTTTAGTTCAAAATTTTATTTATGGTTTACTTCCTTCAAAATTTTCTATTAACATTTTATATTACAAATTTGCCAACATTTTGTGAAGTTACTTTTTTTCAATAATTTGAACAAATATATAATTTTTTTTTTATAAATATAATGGACTCTTCACAGTATCTCCATATTATCGACGGGTTTGAAGATGGGACGGCTGAGCTACTAATTTATTCATATTTGGGATAGAACCCACGATTATTACCTTACTTCATAGGCCCATCACCACCTTAACTAGACGTCAACGGAAATGTACACCATCACTCCACACCAAACAAGCAGAGGCTAAGAAATGACTCACGGTTCCACCAACTGTCGAATTGAAGGATTTCCTATCTCCAGCTCCATTCAACAACACAACTGCAACTGTCTCATCTAAATCTTTGAATAACTACTCAACTGAGTTCATAAGAGTTGTGTTAGGAGCATGTGTGTGCTACATTTGATTTTGTGTGATTACTTATTTGTGTACATGCAAATTGTACTAAGAGAATACACAGTCAAACCGTTAGAGCTAAAACATACAATATCGTGCAAACATATAAGCAAACAATTTCAAAAAGAAAATAGCATCCATCAAACAGTTAAAACATAGATGAGAATAGTCCATCCTCAATTCTAACACAACCGAGAATATCAAGCTAGCACAGCCGAAAATAACATCCATCAACCACATCTTACTTTGATTATCACTTTATGTGAGAGAAGGTGGCAAAACTGGTGAAAAGCAATAAAATAGCATTTATTAATATGCAGGATAGAACACACCATTAACTTATTTCATAGGCCTTCACCATCTTAACAGAAGAGCGAAGGAGGAGGAGGAGAGAATACTACTTCCCTCGCAACTTTCATTATTTCTTTATTATTCACCTTTTATTTCACACCCACAAACTAATTAAGCTATACTTTTAGTGAGAGCAACCACAGTGATCGGGCTTCTCACGGAGTGAACACCATCACTCCACTCCAAAGAAGCAGAGGATATGGACTGACTCACTGTTCCTCGAACTGTGAGCCTGAAGGATTTCCTATCTCCAATTCCATTGAATGATAGAGCAGTAGGATTCACGGTGATGGAAAGTCCTTGTGGGGCAGAGATCTTAGCTCTATATGTGGATCCTCCCCGCGCAACGTTTGTGAGAGTTCTTGTGAAGTACTGATTCACGGTTCGCGTACCGCTTATCGAAACAGCAAAAGAAGGATAGTTTAGATCCCATACTCTTCCAATGTTTCCAGAAGTGCAAGCACTATTATCGCCAGTGATACGTCGAACCATGGCCGTGTCGTAACCTTGACCACACAAGAAGCTCACGTAGTCGCTTTCATTCGCATCGTACACCAACCCAGGATTTATAGCCTTTAGTGGGTTGACATGCCCTGCGCCATACGCGAACTCCGCCTGTGAATGTTGCCTAGCACTCATGGGCGAAGCTGTAGAAACAGAGGAGTGAGTGAAAAGCACACAAAATTTAGAAAAACAGAGCAGTTACTAATAATTACCGGTTGTCATGAGTGCTGATTTTATAGCAGCAGGAGACAAGGTTGGATTGAATGTTTTGACGTAGACTGCAACTTGTGAATGTTTGCTGAATCCACCACACCTAAATGGTGTGAAAGTTATCTTATTTATAATCAAATAAATTACAAGGATATGGAAATAGTAATAAATGGAAATAACAATAAATGGAAAGATACCTATAGTAATAAGGCAAATGTTAGATATTTGCCTTATAATAAAATATCAAATATAATATATACGGGAAAGTATAATTTATTACTAAATATCCTTAACACCCCACCGCAAGCTGAGCGTCAGATTTAAACGAACGTGAAGCTTGAATCTGAAAAATTCAAAGAGGTTGAGAAACACTTTTCGTGAAGATGTCAACAACCTGGTTCAGAGGAGGCGTAGAGAAACACTTTCTTGGCCATCGAAAATTGCAGAGGGATCGCGCTCAGCGGCGATGCTGCCTTGGCTTCGGCGAGAATATGTCTAACCCATGAAGAGGGATTGTCGCTTAGCGACGATGCTGCCTTGGCTCTGGTGAGAATATGTCTAACCCCAAGAAGTAGAAGGGGAAACCTAGAGCAAGGGACAAAGACAATGTTGAAGTCGAAAGAGTCGCCACATTGGGCGAAGGAACCAATTTTGGCGAGAAGGGCAGCTGGAAGAGTCGCCACATTGGGGCGAAGGAGCCAATTTTGGCGAGAAGGGCGGCGGCAACTTGGTTGGTGAAGATGCCAGTGCGGCGCCCAGATTCCAAAGGTAAATCTCTGCAGAAGGTCGATGGGCTTATTGAGATTCTGTATATTTTCGAAGAGGAATGCTGATGAAGATCCTAAGATTAGGGTTTTTGTGAAGGATGAAGGATGAAGGATGAAGGGAAAATTGGGAAGAAAATGAAAGAGGCTATGTTTGGAAAAGGTGAGGTTGTATGTACAGAATATGGCGAAGGATGATTTGGAGGTCAAAAGGGTGGAGCCGAAGAATAATCAATCGGCCCTGCATGTGGCAGCCATGACGACTGCCCCTGCGGCGTCAAAGCCAACAGTGGTGGTGGAGAAGAACAGTAGAAGATTTCAAAAGCCATTGAAAAGAAAGAATCCGGGTTGCTAAACCAAAATGGCTCTGATACCATGTGAATGTTTGATTAATCCACCACACCTAAATGGTGTGAAAGTTATCTTATTTATAATCAAATAAATTACAAGGATATGGAAATAGTAATAAATGGAAATAACAATAAATGGAAAGATATCTATAGTAATAAGGCAAATATTAGATATTTGCCTTATAATAAAATATCAAATATAATATATACGGGAAAGTATAATTTATTACTAAATATCCTTAACACCCCACCGCAAGCTGAGCGTCGGATTTAAACGAACGTGAAGCTTGAATCTGAAAAATTCAAAGAGGTTGAGAAACACTTTTCGTGAAGATGTCAACAACCTGGTTCAGAGGAGGCGTAGAGAAACACTTTCTTGGCCATCGAAAATTGCAGAGGGATCGCGCTCAGCGGCGATGCTGCCTTGGCTTCGGCGAGAATATGTCTAACCCATGAAGAGGGATTGTCGCTTAGCGACGATGCTGCCTTGGCTCTGGTGAGAATATGTCTAACCCCAAGAAGTAGAAGGGGAAACCTAGAGCAAGGGACAAAGACAATGTTGAAGCCGAAAGAGTCGCCACATTGGGCGAAGGAACCAATTTTGGCGAGAAGGGCAGCTGGAAGAGTCGCCACATTGGGGCGAAGGAGCCAATTTTGGCGAGAAGGGCGGCGGCAACTTGGTTGGTGAAGATGCCAGTGCGGCGCCCAGATTCCAAAGGTAAATCTCTGCAGAAGGTCGATGGGCTTATTGAGATTCTGTATATTTTCGAAGAGGAATGCTGATGAAGATCCTAAGATTAGGGTTTTTGTGAAGGATGAAGGATGAAGGATGAAGGGAAAATTGGGAAGAAAATGAAAGAGGCTATGTTTGGAAAAGGTGAGGTTGTATGTACAGAATATGGCGAAGGATGATTTGGAGGTCAAAAGGGTGGAGCCGAAGAATAATCAATCGGCTCTGCATGTGGCAGCCATGACGACTGCCCCTACGGCGTCAAAGCCAACAGTGGTGGTGGAGAAGAACAGTAGAAGATTTCAAAAGCCATTGAAAAGAAAGAATCCGGGTTGCTAAACCAAAATGGCTCTGATACCATGTGAATGTTTGCTGAATCCACCACACCTAAATGGTGTGAAAGTTATCTTATTTATAATCAAATAAATTACAAGGATATGGAAATAGTAATAAATGGAAATAACAATAAATGGAAAGATACCTATAGTAATAAGGCAAATGTTAGATATTTGCCTTATAATAAAATATCAAATATAATATATATGATAAACTATAATTTATTACTAAATATCCTTAACACAACTCCAGTGAGATGTGGACAAGACATTGAGGTCCCTGAGATTATGTTATAAAGCGAACTCCTAGAGTCTTTAACTCCAGCTATTGGCGCAACTGGAGGCCATGCTGCTAGAATTTCAACCCCTGGACCACTCAAATCTGGCTGCATTTGTGCATATTCATGAAACTAATGAATAATTGAACTTTTTTTTTTTTTAACTTTATAATTTGGGTTGAATAAAACTTAACCTTGAGAATGTCGTTGGTTAGAGCATTGGGTCCACGAGAGGAGAAGGAAACTACAACAGGAGCAGATGAATCTTGTCCAGCGACACTCTTGAAGATGGTTGCAGTGGGAATGCTGTTGATCAAAATTTTAAATTACTGAATAATGGTTCCATGACGGAATTGGAAGGGTAATTTTAATTGAAAAAAGTGAAACATACATTGTGGAGCGAATGTAACGATAAACGGCAATGCCATCATTTGGATCGAGGACGGCGGCAGGTGCGGGATAGGACCTTGCATTATCCCTCGTATAGGCTTGCATTAGGATGCCAACTATGGCACCGAAAGAAAAGAATGTAGAAGGAGGAATTACAGAATCACAAAGAAGGATCTTCCCTGCCGCCAAAATCGGATTCACTGAATTTTGTTCACAGTATCTACAATAAAGTAAAACAGGTTTACATAAGTTTACTTTTTCAAAAATACTAAACAAAAATTAAACTGACACATTAATTAAATTACCTAGAGGTGGAGCCATTGAAACCTAGGTTGGGTATATCACCGGCATAAACTAAGGGATGTTGTAAATTCATATTAAATGTGTTGATTGAAATTCCCTGCACTTTCATCAAAATATTATATCATAATCATACTATATACATGCATCAGATTAAAGTTGGAAACTTTAATATCTTATCCAATTAAACTAGGTATTAAAAAAAAAAAAAAAAAAAAAACCAAGCTTGCTATCAATTATATCTAAAAAGAAATTTTGGGTAATGGAAAAAATAACTCTTTGGGATAATTTCAAAATCAAAGCTGAAATTTTTTGAGAGGAGAAAAATAATGTTACCTGATAGATATTTCCATTGCCAAGCTGTACTCGGGTGACAAATTTTCTATCCATGCCGCTTGCAGCGACAGAAAGAAGCCATGGAGACAAGCTTGTGGTGGTGAAGTCCTTGGGACCTTCATTTCCAGCCGAATTGGAGGTTAATATTCCATTTTTTATTGCATGGAAAGATCCAATAGCTATGGGATCGTTGAAATAAGGCCGGGGTTTATTCGACCCAACCGAAAGAGATACGATATCGACCCCATCAGCAATTGCATCGTCGAATGCGGCAAGAATGTCGGCGTCCCAGCACCCATCTTCCCAACATACTTTGTAGGCAGCAATCCGCGCAGAGGGAACCCCTCCTCTTGCTGTGCCGAGGCCGAGACCATACAGACTTGCCTGGCTCACGAGACCACCAGCCACCGTGGATGCAGTGTGCGTGCCATGGCCGTCGGTATCTCTTGGACTACCTGTTGAAATATCATCACTAGCCCAATAGAGTCAAGCCCAATAATTGTACTAGCCCAATAGAGTCAAGCCTAATTGTACGAGCCCAGTATATTTATTTTAGTAGAGATTTTAGGAGAAAGAGATGTAGATATTTTAGGAGAAAGATTCAATTTGTTAGGTCTAGATTCAAATCGGTTAGGTCTAGATTTAGATTGGTTAAATATAGATTGTTTACTCTTAGTATAAATACCCCCACCCTACCTAGGTTATTCATCCAAGAAATCTAAAAACAATAAAAAGCAGAAGTATTCTACAGAGTGTCTTGTATTCTCTTCTCGATTGGTCTTAATAAAGAGAGCGAGTGTTTCCCACAGTGAGTTGTGTTCAACATTTGGTATCAGAGCGAGGTTAGTGTAGGTTATCTGATCTCTTGGAATCCTTAGTATGCTCTGTGGTTGCAGCTCTGCCTGATCTTCCACATCAGAAACGATTTCTTGAGATTAGTGGTGAGTGAGTTTCTTTTGTGTCGTGAGAAGTCTGTGACTCTGCAAGTCTTGTGTCAAAAGAACTTGTTTGGTATTACTGAGGTATGGCCAACACGATGAGTGATTTCCAAATCGTTGGAGGAATTAAGAAACTCAACAACAACAACTACAACACGTGGGCAACATGCATGATGTCCTATTTACAAGGACAGGATCTTTGGGAGATCGTTGGCGGGTGTGAAACTACGCCGCCAGAGGAGGATTCTAACGACGCCTTGCGCAAATGGAGAATCAAAGCAGGCAAAGCAATGTTTGCCTTGAAGACCACCATCGGAGAAGAGATGTTAGAACATATTTGGGATGACAAGACACCGAAAGAAGCATGGGACACATTCGTGATGTTGTTCTCAAAGAAGAATGATACGAGGCTACAACTTCTGGAGAATGAGTTGTTGTCAATTTCACAACGTGATATGACGATTGCTCAGTACTTCCACAAGGTCAAATCGATCTGTCGGGAGATTACTGAACTAGACCCAAAGTCCGCCATTGTAGAATCTCGAATGAAGAGGATTATAATCCACGGATTGCGACCAGAATATCGAAGCTTCATTGCTGCTGTACAAGGATGGCCCACTCAACCATCACTGGTAGAGTTCGAAAATTTGTTAGCCAGCCAAGAAGCCATGGCTAAACAAATGGGAGGCTTCACATTGAAGGGTGAAGAAGCACTCTACACGAGTGAAAGTCAGAGCAATAATAGGCCGTCTACCAGACGTGGATACAATGGTGACAAAAGAAGAAGCCACCAAGGGATTGCACAACCTGAGAGAGCTCAGAAGAACGACAACAAGAGTTTTCAAAGAACGAGATTTGGTGGTATTTGCTATAACTGCGGGAAAAAGGGCCATATGTCTAGAGATTGTTGGTCCAGGAAAAAGTCCATTGAAAACAATGTGGCAATATCCAAAAAGAAGATAGAAGATGAATGGGATGCAGAGGTACTATGTCCCATAGAAGAAGACGAGCTAGCACTCATGGCGACAATGGAAGACCATATCAACTATGAGAATGACTGGATCGTTGATTCAGGATGTTCAAATCACATGACTGGCGATCAGAGAAAATTGCAAGACAAGAAAGAGTACAAAGGAAGTCGTATGGTACGTACAGCAAATAACACACAGTTATCAATTGCTCAAATCGGCAATACGACAATCATGCCTGGCAATAAGTCTGATACAGTGTCGCTACATAATGTTTATCATGTACCGGGTATAAAGAAGAACTTGTTGTCAGTGTCACAACTAACAACATCAGGAAGCTATGTCTTGTTTGGGCCAGAAGATGTAAAAGTTTATCAAGATGTTAAGATAATAGGAAAGCCGACGATAGAAGGACGAAGAGTGGAGTCTGTCTACGTTCTATCTGCAGAGTCTGCCTATGTTGACAAGACCCGAAAGAATGAGACGACAGATCTATGGCATGCAAGATTGGGACATATTAGCTACCATAAGTTGAAGCTGATTATGGAGAAATCTATGCTCAAAGGTCTACCACAACTGGAAGTCAAAACAGACGTTGTCTGCGCTGGATGTCAGTATGGTAAAGCTCATCAATTACCATACAAAGAGTCAAGTTTCAAAGCAAAGAAACCATTAGAGTTAGTTCACTCTGATTTGTTCGGCCCAGTCAAACAAGCATCGATCAGCGGAATGCGGTATATGGTGACATTTATTGACGACTACTCAAGATATGTGTGGATTTTCTTTATGAAAGAAAAGTCTGACACGTTCTCAAAGTTTCAAGAATTCAAGATGATGGTCGAAGGAGAAGTAGGAGCGAAGATTCGTTGTCTACGTTCAGACAATGGCGGAGAATACACGTCAGATGAGTTCGATCAATATTTACACGAGTGTGGGATACGACGTCAATTTACATGTGCCAACACGCCACAACAAAATGGTGTAGCAGAAAGAAAGAATCGACACCTTGCAGAAACCTGTCGAAGCATGTTACACGCAAAGAACGTTCCAGGAAGATTTTGGGCTGAAGCTATGCGAACTGCTGCCCATGTGATCAACAAGCTTCCTCAACCAAAGCTAGGGTTCGTCTCACCATTTGAGATACTATGGGATATGAAACCTACAATTAGTTACTTCCGAGTATTTGGCTGTGTTTGCTATGTATTTGTGCCTGACCATCTACGTAGCAAGTTTGACAAGAAAGCAGTCAAGTGTGTATTTGTTGGATACGACAATCAAAGAAAAGGATGGAGGTGCTGTGATCCAACAAGTGGAAAATACTATACATCAAGAGATGTAGTTTTTGATGAAGCATCTACATGGTGGTCCTCGGAGAAGAAAGTCTTATCAGATTCAAACATTGAAGAAATTCTACAACAGAAGCTGGGGGAGCAAACTACACAAATTCAATCAAATGTCGATGCATCTGAAAATCCAAGCGACATTGATATTGACAAGCAGGAGGTGACTCAATCAAGCGAATCTGATAAAAATGAAACAACACATCAACAACTTAGGCGATCAAATAGAATCCGAAGGCCAAATCCTAAGTATGCAAATGCAGCTATTGTAGAAGATAGAGTTTACGAACCAGAGACATATGAAGAAGCATCACAAAACTCGGTTTGGCAGAAAGCGATGGAGGAAGAAATTATAGTCTTGGAGCATAATCAAACTTGGGAACTAGTGCCAAGACTAGGAGATATCAAACCCGTCTCTTGCAAGTGGGTCTATAAAATAAAGCGTCGACCGGATGGATCAATCGAGAGATACAAGGCTCGACTCGTGGCTCGAGGATTTTCTCAACAATATGGACTAGATTATGATGAAACATTCAGTCCAGTGGCAAAGATTACTACCGTACGAGTTCTGCTAGCACTCGCAGCAAGTAAAGATTGGAAACTGTGGCAAATGGATGTGAAGAATGCCTTCTTGCACGGAGAGCTAGACAGGGAGATTTATATGAACCAACCAAAGGGATTTGAGAGTGCAGCTAATCCTAATTATGTATGCAAGCTTAGAAAAGCTCTTTATGGACTGAAACAAGCACCGAGAGCTTGGTATGGTAAGATTGCTGAATTTCTTACCCAAAGTGGTTATTCAGTTGCGCATGCAGACTCAAGCCTATTCATCAAAGAAAGAGAAGGAAATTTGACAATTGTGTTGGTCTACGTGGACGATTTGATTATCACCGGGGACGATGAAAGAGAAATTTATCAAACAAGAGAAAATTTATCAATACGCTTTCAGATGAAAGAGCTAGGAGAGCTTAAACACTTCTTAGGCCTAGAAGTTGATCGCACAGATGAAGGACTGTTTCTCTGCCAACAAAAGTATACCAGAGACATGCTTCAGAAGTTCAACATGTTAGAGTGCAAGCAAGTTTCAACACCGATGGAGATAAATGCCAAGATTTGTGCACATGAAGGCAAAGAGTTGAACGATGAAACAACGTACCGACAACTAGTAGGTAGTCTTATCTACCTAACTTTAACTCGACCTGATATCTCGTATGCAGTTGGGGTTATGAGTCGATACATGCAAAGTCCAAAGAAGCCTCATCTGGATGCAGCTCGACGGATCTTGAGATATATCAAAGGTACAATCGACTATGGTCTTTTGTACAAAAGAAGCAAAGACTGCAAGCTAGTTGGATACTGTGATGCTGACTATGCAGGAGACCACGATACTCGGAGGTCAACCACTGGGTATGTGTTCAAGTTTGGTTCGGGAACAATTTCTTGGTGTAGCAAGAGACAACCAACAGTATCATTATCAACTACAGAAGCAGAGTATAGAGCAGCGGCTGGAGCAGCCCAGGAAAGTACATGGCTAAAACTCTTGATGGAAGATTTGCACCAGAAAATTGACTATCCAATATCACTTCTTTGCGACAACCAATCTGCGATTCGCCTTGCAGAAAATCCAGTGTTTCATGCTAGAACAAAGCATGTGGAGGTGCACTACCATTTCATTAGAGAGAAGGTCCTAAAGGAAGAAATTGAGATGCAGCAGATCAAGACAGATGACCAAGTGGCAGACTTGTTTACAAAAGGGTTGAATACTAGCAAACATGAGAGCTTTCGCTGTCAGCTCAACATGATGCAGCGAATGAGGACTAGTGCTGAGGGGGAGTGTTGAAATATCATCACTAGCCCAATAGAGTCAAGCCCAATAATTGTACTAGCCCAATAGAGTCAAGCCTAATTGTACGAGCCCAGTATATTTATTTTAGTAGAGATTTTAGGAGAAAGAGATGTAGATATTTTAGGAGAAAGATTCAATTTGTTAGGTCTAGATTCAAATCGGTTAGGTCTAGATTTAGATTGGTTAAATATAGATTGTTTACTCTTAGTATAAATACCCCCACCCTACCTAGGTTATTCATCCAAGAAATCTAAAAACAATAAAAAGCAGAAGTATTCTACAGAGTGTCTTGTATTCTCTTCTCGATTGGTCTTAATAAAGAGAGCGAGTGTTTCCCACAGTGAGTTGTGTTCAACACTACCAACATCGCCTGGGGCAATGGGTCTGCCGATGTGATAGGCTCGACCTCCGATAAGTTTTCTAACAAAGTTCCAAGGATTTGCATGTTTAATTAGTAATTAGCAAGGGACAAAGGAAAGGAGGGTAGGTTTTAAGAAGTAATGCCAAAGTAAGTTAATTTGAATCATAGAAGCTGTGGTGGTTTGTTAATTCGGAGTTCTCTCGTAGTTTTGTTTGTTTTGGGTTATAAATTGATGATCATTTCCTAAATTAGTCGACGTGGGACTTTCATTTAAAATGGTTTACCTATTGCAGCTGAAATTGGAGACTTGGCATCTGCCCCTCCACTTGGATGGTGGAGAACCAAAACCATCATCGTTGAAACTGGGAGACTCTGGCCAGATTCCGGAGTCCAAAACTCCAACAACTATGTTGCTTTCCAGTTGTGGTACGCGATCAACATTTTGTGGAAACCCCATAAAATCCCACGATCTTGTCGTGTGGAGATGGTTGTTTTGATTGAGGAACACAGAGACCACACCCTCCTTGCCTGAAAAACATTTCAAATTTTATACTCAATTTCAAAAATAACTCATTAAATAAAAATAAAAGATATACTTACTAGCAATCTCTTGAGCTTCTTCTTCAGTGAGTGTCACCACGAATCCGTTGAAACTTCTATTGTAGGTGTATAACACAGATTGTGGATCAAAAGTGCTGAAACAACATACAAATAATTGTTCAAATAATTGTTCAAATAATTGTTCAAATAATTGTTCAAATAATTTGTTCAAATAATTGTTGATGAAGGGTGTGTATATATAAATAAACCTGCCAACCACTTGTTCCAACATTGCTCGGTGATGCAAATGAGCGGAAGAAGGGTCCTGTAGCTTGCTCCCCATGTACACGATATATATCTCCCTATCATCATCGTGGGAATGGGAGGTGGATGCCAGCACACTGCAGAACAAGGCAAGGAAGAGGAGATTAAGGATCAGAGGAGAACTCATATCACTGCCTTTTCTTATCATCACTTAGATTATCTTAGGATATGTGATTTGAGAAAGGAAGAATAATATGTGCATTTTATAGGAACAACTTACCACATACTTCCAAACTTCCATCATATCTCACATTCGATTATAAGCTTAAAAAACTAATATTAAAAGAAAAGTATTCATTTTTCTTAAACTCCTCTAGTTTTTTCAAAAGTTGCAATTTTAGGCTCAGATTTTTTCTTAAATATTTTAATTTTTTTTATATAAAATTTATTAGATTTTTAGATAATCTACCAATTCTTCTAAAAAAAATAGTTGTAAAATAATTAATTCAGTTTTAACCCTTTTATTTAAGAATAATTTTTTTCTAAATTTAAATCCGAAACCGTAAACAAAAAGGAGGTAATGGAAGCCGATAAAGAATTGATGTAAACTACGCATTCTCACTATTTGCGCCTGCTTTTGTATGGCAATCCATTGTTTTGTAGTTGATTGTTGTGTGTGTTCTTTAAGATAATTCATTGTTATTTAGTTATTTTTCACTAGGTTTCCTAATATTATCTAAAAATATTTGATTTCTATTTTATTTTGATTGTTGTTTAACGAATACAATTTGCTGCTATGTGGCCACCATTACTAAACTAAACTTGAAGGGTTACCACTATCACTACAAATCGACCATGTGCAACAACAAAATACGCCTCTGCAAATATTGAGACTCCCAAATGCATATTCTACACAAAACTCAAACCCGACCAGCCGTTCTTGCCACGGCAACGGCCGAAACAAAGCATTGGGTCACAGCTTCGATATCATACAAAGAGAAAATGAAATCAAGGAACGAATGAGATTGAAAGTCGAGGAAGGAGATCGAATGTAACAGTCGAAGCCTACCACCACCAGATATTATCCGTTGTATTCTGTTACATATTGTAGTCATTCTCACGGTTTTAAGACGTGTCTATCGAGAAAAAGTTTCTACACTTTTAAAAAATACAAAAAAAAAAAGAAAATATTATTTTAAAGAATTATTCCTTGGTTGAACCGTTTTCTTCTGTTATCACAATTATTGTAGTGTCCTCTTAGGTTGGATTGAAGCTTTGGGAGGTTAAAATACAAAAAGGAGCGAATTGAAGCCGATAATTAGATGTTGAGAAGGAAGACAAGAATTAATGTTCACTATATTTCCTCACTATTTTTGCCTGCTTTTTTATGACGAGCCATTGTCTTTTAGTTGAATTGTCGTGTGTCTTTTGTATAGCAATTCATTGTTATGTAGTTCTTTTTCACCATGTTTCCTAATATTATCTTCACCTTAACGTTCATTTGTCGTTAAACTAAAAAATCTTCATTTGTCGTTTATTTTAATTGGAGGGATGATTCATCATTTTCTTCTACAAATCTTTTTTTTCTTAACCAAGTACAAATCTTAAACCCTAATATTTTATCGATTGCTTAAATTTTTTATTTTTAATTTGATATGAAATTTAATAGTCAATGGCGGGGGATGATAGCATACGAGTACTCGTATGGTGTAATATAGGTTAGTTGGCGAACCCTAACTACAAGACCATCTAGTCATCCGAGGTTGGAGGAGCGATCCTCTATGCTTGTTAGCTACTACGGTTACCCGCGTAATCCTACGCTCTCTCTCAAGACAAATCTGCTATGCAAAGTAATCCATTTAAACTATCGATCACACTACCCTAACTGGCTTGTGCCTAGTTCGATGGTACTAATATCGAAGTGTTAAAAATCATCACTAGTGTAATTAGATCTAGCTCAATAATTGTACGAGTCAATTGTCTATATATTTTAGAAAAATAATTCAGGTATTTTAGAAACAAAGATACTCAAAAGTATTTTAGGAATAAATTGTTTAACCTCTACTATAAATACCCTCCCATTCTACAATAGAGTGTAGTAGTTCGTACCTAGTGTCGTGTAATCTCGTTTTTATTGGTATTAATAAAGAGTACAAAGTAGTTTGTACCTAGTGTCGTGTAATCTCGTCTTTATTGGTATTAATAAAGAGTACAAAGAGATCTTAATAAAGAGTGCAGTAAAAGAAAGATGGTCTCTGAGCAACAGTCAAGGGGAATCTCGAGCCTAAAAAGCATACACGCTCTAACAAAATAGTGTAGCAAAGAGGTTAAACCAAACCAATATGGACTGAGGTTGGTGCCTACTTTCAAATGCCTTGCTGCCGGAGAGATTTTGGGTTAAGGCTGCATCATTCACAATCTACACCATCAATAGATGCCACCATTTTTCAACTAATTTTCAAATTCTCATCTATAAAAACTCACTTACCCCTTAATTCGTTTAATAACCCCAAAATGCATGACTTCAAGCATGTGATACACTTGCTTTGAACGCATATACTAATTAAAATATACTCAACTTATCAAGAAAAGAAAAGAAAAGAAAAGAAAAGGTATATATTTTTGGATTAGCATAAAGAGATAAGTAATGATGGGAGAAAACAATGTTAAAGCGCTTGGTTGCACATAAAACAAAGACACTGTTCTGATACTTCAAGGTCTTATTTTGACAACTTCCATGTATAATATACATGTTTGGCGTTGGAGTTGACCAAATTACATTGTTGTTCTGCCGGCTGCCCAAAGTGGCTGTAATTTGATGAGTTTGAGAAACCCCAAGTAATCAATTAGTTTGTTTGTATGTATATATATAAAACCAAAACCCTCAACATGTAATATCATCTCAGATTAGGGCTCTAAGCTTTTAAACAATGGAACAATTGCATGGATTCTCTTTCAATGGCAGGCTTTTGCTAATGGCTTTTGCCGCCACTTTGCTTCTCACCTCCCAAGCAGCTGATGATAGAAAGGCATTTCATTCTCAAATTTTCATTTCCCAATTTCATTTTGATTTTATTTTAAGTTTTCTGATGTGTGTATCATCAACTCCATAACCCTAAGGAACATTATCTATATACATATAGTATGGGTAATTAATATCTACCTTTTTAAAATGTAAGAGGTTTGATTAGAAAGATTATATTGCGGAGAGGTTAATGAAGTTTGCGTTTGAATGAGCATGCAGGTGTATATTGTGTACATGGGCAAACCATCTGAAGGAGGTTTCTCAGCTGTGTCTCAACGACACACCAACATGCTTCAACAAGTTCTTACCGATAGGTTATGTTTTTTTTTTAATTGGTTCAATTAAAAATAATAACTCAGAAACTTTTTCAAATATTTCAATAATATTCTTAAACTTTCTTTTGAATAGTGCTTCAAAAATACCCTTCAATCTTTTTTAAAAAGTTCAAAAATACTTTCATAGTAATTCCAGGGTTAAAAAATAACATTAACACATGTTACTGTTATAAAAAAATATTTTTTAAAAAAATTTAACCGTCAATATATAAACGAAAATTGTCTACCGACACATCATAGTTTATTTACTAACGTTTTAATGTTATTTTAGAATGTTCTTGATAGTTTTTGAAATATGATATTTTTGAACTTTTAAGAAAAAATTAAGCATTTTTAAAGTTTTTTTTAAAAGTTTAAAGATACTTCTGATTTTTTTTTTTTAAATACTTATACTAACAAAACATTTCAAAACTACAAAAAAATATTTTTGAAACATTGTTTCCATCCAAGATTAAAACATTTTTGAATTTTTTTTTAGAAGTGGAAAGATATTTTTGAAATGTTTAGAAATATTATTAAAAATTTCTTAGATGTATTTTTGAGATAAAAGTATAAATTTTAAAAATATTTTTATTAATCTAGTACTTTTATTTTAATTTAACAATTGTAAGATCGTGAGAGCGTAGTTTGTTATTGGTTGATTTATACTTGGATTTAATACACATTTGGATTTATTTCTCTAACCATTCTTGAACCTAAAGAATTTGCCATATTTTTGTAATTAAATAGAAACAACTTTGAATCTTCTAGGGTTTAACTTTTCAAACTAACTATGATCTCAGTGATGCATCAAAATCTCTGGTGTATAGCTACCACCGGAGCTTCAGCGGCTTTGCAGCCTGGCTCAACCAGGAGGAGGCTCGAAAATTCGCCAGTGGGTTCTTCTCTAAACACAAAAAGAAACAGTTCTATTTGTTTAGGGTTTTCTGAATTTTGATGGGATTTTGGTTTTCAGAGATGGATGAAGTTGTTTCCGTGTTTCCCAGCGAAAAGAAACAGCTTCATACAACAAGATCATGGGATTTTATGGGTTTCTTCCAACAAGCTCGAAGATCGAGCTTGGAGAGCGATTTGGTCATCGGAATGTTGGATACTGGAATTTGGCCGGAATCTGAAAGCTTTTCCGATGAAGGGTTTGGTCCACCGCCGCCAAAATGGAAAGGGGAATGCCAACCCGCTTCTAACTTCACCTGCAACAAGTAACGCTATTTTTCCCCTTCATTTAAGGGTTTCTTTAATTTTAGCTATAGATTAAATAAGTAATTCCATTATAATTTAGTTTTTTTTTATTTGAATTTAAATAATTCTACATTTTTTCTAGGAAGAAAAATAGTATAATCTATTATTATTCAATGTTTTTAAATCCATAGATTAAACGAGTGTCAACTGTTTTTCCCTAAACCCTAAAGATGTGATTGAAATTTTTTGAAGTAAAATAATCGGAGCTCGATTCTTCCGGACCGAACCTCTCGGCGAAGGCGATATTCTTTCTCCGAGGGATACAGAAGGCCATGGAACCCACACCTCATCCACTGCCGGAGGCAATTTGGTCTCCGGCGCCAGCCTCTTCGGCCTTGGTCTCGGCACCGCTCGGGGTGGCACTCCCTCTGCCCGCATTGCCGTCTACAAGATCTGCTGGTCCGATGGTTGCTTCGACGCCGATATCCTCGCGGCTTTCGACAATGCAATCGCCGATGGCGTGGATATCATCTCTCTTTCCGTCGGAGGCTTTATTGCCAAGGATTACTTCAATGATTCAATTGCAATTGGGGCTTTTCACGCGATGAAGAATGGGATTCTGACTTCGAATTCCGGTGGGAACTCTGGCCCTAGCCTTGGCAGTATCACGAATGTTTCTCCA